AGCCAATAGACGCCTGTTATGGGGACGCTGAAGAAAACTTCGTAACAAGGAGCCGTTGCAATTGAATTCAATTGTACGCCTCGGGAAGGGAGCACAAGTCCCTTTCCCCCGCTTCAAGTTCATCTGCGCTGCAATTTGCCTCAGATATAGCACCTTTGTACGATGCTCTCCGCCAGTACGGATTTTATGAGGTCAATTCAATGCTACATGTACCAGTACGTCCTCGTTGAGAGACCCTCGAGTGAGCTTGACTTCAGCTCCATTATGATTGGGCACGTGTACTGTAAGTGAACACACGCTGTAAGTGCCGGATCCGGCACTAGAATAGCAAATCTCAACTCTTCTGCCTGATTTGAAAGTCTAGACTTCCATCTCCTGATCTACAAGCACACGCGATATCACTACGACATGTCGCTGACTCAATATAATGTTCACTCACGCCCATATCCTGGCCAACAACAGAAAATGAACAATATTGACAAGCATCAACAGACACCCAACGAAAGCGAGCAAAAACCCAGGATCCACAATCTGCAGCTCCTCCAATCCCGCCCACAAGCTCTTCCCAATCCGTTCACCGAGACGGCCCAGCTCCAACGAACCAACGGCCTCTTCCTCTTGATAATTCTCCGCCTCGACCCTTGGTTTTTCATTTTGCTTTCCCTTTCTCATGCAACAAGGTAGGACCCGATCGGCCCGTTATTATGGACTTTTACAGAATCGTACGCTGTTCCCGTCCCCCTTTTGCCACTGGTGTCGTGTGAGTGTTTACCCAAACGGGAGATTGCTCCAGCATTCTCATGTGCGCTTCTCGGTGCGTCTGTTGTTTGGTTTTGGGCCTTTAATTCTCCGCGAACTGAAAGCTGGATGGGAAGCAGGGGTGCTCTTGTTGTCTACAGCATGACCTGATCTTTCCCTGTTGGCTGAGTCGAGGTCAACCCAATTCTGAGGAGAACTGTCCATTTCAAGACGCCATCGAGCATTGCCGTCCACGACCTCACCTCTCACACCTGACGGTATCCATATCACGACATTCTCTACGAAAGAGTCAGTATCAACCAACAAGAAGG